TGGGAAGCAGATGCTATGATTATCATCATCCCCATTTTACAGATGAGGAAACTGAGGCAGGCAAGAAGTGTTTTGCCCAGGGTCACACAGCTAGGCAGTGTCTGAGATAGAATTTGAACTATCAGTCTATCCTGACTCCACTGAGGAAAGGATTATCACCTTATTCCTAGGAGTTATGGCTCTCATCCCACATACCAAACAGGCCTAGGATTGCAAGGAGGATTCCAGGAGATAGCATCAACCCTGCTGCTTTCCTGCTATTTTTATGAAGTCCATGACCTTCCAGGGCTATTAATGACCACACGGTCCATTGACATCCAGCAGCCATCATAATGGCTGTCAGCGCAGCAAAATCTTCAGATGAGGAAGTTCTGAAGGTTAGCTGTCCTTTCAAGTAAGCATCTTCTACCAGTGCACTGACCCAATTACCATTCTGCTAAACTTGCTGGGTATGGAAATGTGGGCGTTGTTAATGCTCTTCAGACATATTACGACTTTATTCAGCTTCTTAAGTAATTAAGAAGAATACAAGTTCAGCTCTGCTGAAACCGATAGAATGGAATGGTCAGCAGAGCCCAATTCAGTGAGTCTGCTCCCTTGGTGTCCGACAAAGTGGAGAAAATGGCACTGCCCCCTCCCTTGGCCTTTGCCACTTTTTCCAGGATTCAACTTTACCTTCAGCAAAGTGCTATAATTCTAGATTATGAAGTCTCTCATTGCTAAAATTTGTCAGCTCAAACCTTTGGTACTGAAATTCCATTTAGTACAAAAGATTCAAGCCTAGTGAGCAGAATCTAATCAATTAATAGTTTGGAAGTCAATTCATTTCTCTCAGCCTCAGTTTCCCTTCCTGTAAAATGAGAATAATAACATCTTCCTTCCAGGGTGGGTCAAGTGAGATATTTGTAAAGCACCTAGCACATAACAGGTCCTTAAAAAACCTTTCTTCCTTCCTTCTTTTCCTCTTCTTCTTTTTCTTTCTTTCCTTCCTCCCCTCCCTCATTCTCTCCTTCCTTTCATTTCTTCTATCTTTCCTTTGCTTCTTTCTTCTTTCTGCTATGTTTGAAAATTAAGGTAGACTGAAAGACAATGGCCTGAACATGATCAATTTATTAGTTAGGCTAGCAGTAACCAATAAATTGGGTCAGTGGCCTCTCTCAATGACCAAAGACCGAGGTAGGGCCCATCAGCCTTCATATAGTTTTGGGGAGCACAAGGTTGAGTAGGTGGAGAAGATATCGGAATTGATTTCAGTGGGAGTGGGAACAACATGATTGGCTATTTTAAAGAAATCAGGCTAGCACACCTATGTGGGGCTAGTGACCACACTTCTCTGACAATTAAGGGATGTTAATTGTTTTGTGGGACCCATCAGCATCTTGCAGACATTGTCAATAGATTTGAGTTAGCAGACTCACTGATGCCTAGAAGGGTTTATTAGGGAGATAAGACCCTCCTTAACTGTATAAGGACAGGTAAGCATGGACAATACACTTTTTTGGAGATGATAACAAATTGACTTGTAACTTTAAACTAATTCAGAGGAAAAGCTGACAATTATACTATCAATAAAGTATAAAATTAGTTGAACTCATACAAGTAGAAACTAGAGGTAATAGTAATTTTGATATTTTCCCTTCCCTCACCCCTTTTTCTTCATCCTTCCTTTTATTCCTTCTTTCCTTCTTCCCTTCCTCCTTTCTTCTCTCCTCCCTCCTTTCCTTCCTTTCCTTTTTCCTTCCTCCCTCCTTTCCTTCCTTCTTTTCCTTCTTTATTCCTCCTATCCTTCCTCTCTCCTCCCTTCCTTCCTTCCTTTCCTTCTTCCTTCCTCCCTTCCTCCCTCCTATCCTTCCTTCCTTTCCCTTTTCATTCCTCCTGTCCTTCCTGCCTCTCTCCCTTACTTCCTTTCCTTCCTCCCTTCCTTCCCTAAAATTATCTGCTGCAAATGAATGCTGCCCAGGTCTTTGGGTGAGCTGTATCTGCACACAAAAGGGTCATAAATGGGACAGAAGCCAAAGAAAAGACCATGACCTTGCCTTCTGGCCATGGCTTTGTACTCTTGCCTTTTCACTTTCCACTTATCTGGGGAGATGGAAAGTAACAAATAACTCTTAATCATCAAATCCAAAGGCTTTTTCTCCGGCCTCATTCTTGACCTCTTCTGCAGCCTGAGAAATAGTTGACCATCTTCTCCTCCTGGTCATTCTCTCCTCTCTAGGTTTTCTGGACTCCATTCTCCTGATTCTTCACCCATGTCACACACACACACACTAACCTTAGGTATCTTCCAGGCCTTCAGTCCTGGGCCCTATCCCTTTTTGCTCAGTACTAAATACTACCTTGCTTGGTGATCTCAGAAGCTACTATGGGTTCAATGATCATGCCTATGAAGATGATTCCCAGATCTAGAAAATCAGCCTTTCAGTCAATAATCATTTATCAAACACCTACTATGCACCAGGCATTATGCTAAACACTGAGGATACAAAGAAAGGCAAAAGATAGTCCTTGCCCTCAAGGAGTTTACAGTCTAATGGAGAGACAATGAGCAAAAAAATATGAACAAACACGCTGTGTACAGGATAAATTGGAAACCAAGAGAGGGAAAGCATTAGCATTATGGGGAACGAGGGAAGGTATCTTATAGACGTGTCAACATCCTTTAGGTATTTCCGTTAAGTTCTTCATAACTTGGCTCCTTCCTGTCTTTCTAGGTGTCCCAGTGGATAAAGTGTTAGAGTCAGGAAAACCCGAGTTCAAATCCTTTCTCAGATACTTACTAGCTGTGTGTGACCCTGGGCAAATCACTTAGCCTCTGTTTGCCTCCGTTTCCTCATCTGTAAAATGGAGATAATAATAGCACCTACCTCCCAGGGTTGTTGTGAGGATCCAATGGGATATTTGTAAAGCATTTTTGAACCTTGAAACTATATATAATTCTAGTTCTTATTATCATTATTGTTATATTTTTCTCCCCTCTGCATACTCCAGGTTTCCCCAGCTTCCTTCAAGACTCAGGTCAAATCTCACCTTCTACCGGAGAGATTCCCTAGTTTCTCCCTGCCCCTCCCCTTATCAGATCACCTTCTATCTTCTCTGTATGTATATTGTATGTATGTACTTATTTACAGATTGTCTCGAATATAAGCTCCTTGAGGGCAAGGACTGAAGACTGGGACAGAGGGCCCAAGGTCAGGAGGACTAGGAAGGAAAGTTCCAAGAACATAAAGGGCATTAGTTAGTTGGAAGGATCTTGCTTATTTGTTTCAGAGAGCTAAGGTCCCCTTCTAGGGACGCCAGATGCTTCAGTAGTCGGAACTCTGAACAGAGGGGGTCATTTTGCTGGTCTCTGGTGAGGGGCTGTGCTTTTTTTCCCTGAAAGAGCTGAGAATAGCCTACGAGGTTTGTACTGGAAGAACATCATAGCACCTGCTCTCCCACCGATGAGAGACAGCTGAGGATTTCAGCTGAGCCAGAAGCTGGCAAGGGAGCGTCCAGAGGAGCAGCACATCTGGCTAAGCAGTGTCCAGCAGGGACTGGGAGACTCTAAGACCAGCGGGCAGCAGAGAGAGAGTAAAGGCAAGAGCTGCCTTTCCAAGTGTGCTCTTTGAAGCACCCAAATGTGCACGTTAGCCCTGTTTTTCCCTCCGCCTGTACCCTTCTTCATGTGTGTCCTGGTTCATGTTCCCTGTATGTGTGCCCTTCATGTGTTTTCTGCCTGTGTCCATCCTTCCCAACAATGTGTGTATTTGTGGGAGACTGGACCCCAGGTTTATAGGGGGAAATGTTTTATTGCTCCTTTTCTTAACTTCTTACTATACCACTTCATAAAATGTTTTTGCTTAGAACGAATTGTTCCCTCTGGCTGACTATTAAAGGTAAATAATATTGGTGGGGGCTTGTGAGCTATGGTTTTGGGAGACACGAACCCACAGAGTGCCCTGAACCTGCAGTAACAATTCCCTGGGGAACTTGCCTGTAAAGTCTTGGGGAATGCCTTCAGGTACTACATGTATGAAACAAGCAGAGCTTGAGTACTGGTACCCATTAAAAGCAATATTTTAGAAAGTAAATCAATTCCAATTATCTGTAAACGAGGCTTTATTTTGGAATCTTGAGTAAGTTCTCTTTGCTACTCTAAAACAAAGGAGGACCATAATTTAAACAATAAACCACAACTTCCAACACCTTGTTATCAGGTAATTGTGCTGGATGAACAATAAGTAAAGAAAAACAGAAGAATAAGATATGTACCTAAATGTATATATGTTTGTATGTATATATGTGTGTGTATATACATATAGGTGCACATGCATATTGGTGTGTATTTTATATACCTATATGCATTTAGGTATGTTTTATATACTCTATGCATATAGGTATATATTATATGTACCTATATGCATAGTTACGTATTACTATCATATGTTGATATATGATATAAATATATGTCTATTCAATGTTTCTAAAATGTTTTCTGTGAGGTAGGGAGATTGTTTGTAGTCAAATATGTGATTTCACTGATACAGAGAATGCCCAGGAGGGCTACTCCCTTCATCAGTGCAGATCTCTGCCTGAACTATAACATTATGGTCTTAGTGCCCAGGGTCACATGGTCAGTAAATGTCACAAGTGGGACCTGAACCCAGGTCTTTCTAACATTGAGATCAGTTCTCTGTAAGGTAGGCTCGGTGAGTGTTATTATTCCCAATTTACAGATTGGGAAACTGAGGCTGTTCAAGGTAAGGTCTCACTGCTTGTAAAGGTATCAAGATCAGGATCTGAACTCAGTTCCTTGCTGCCTACCTGTCAAGAGCTCTTCCCACTACATCACCAAAAATGGTCCACGTTACCAGACCACACTCCTACAAGCCAGTGACATGGACTGAAAGCAAACGAGGAGGCTGCGTTTAATAGTGCATCAATACGGCTAGAGAGCTCCTAACAGCCTTTTCAATGGGCCATGTGGGTTTGAAATTAAACACAGCACCATCAGAAGGTTCGGTCCGTATGCTTTATTGGAAGGGGCAACAAATGCTTACATCATACAGGACAACAACATTCACAAATAAGGGAAATCACGGTCCCATATTAATTCCAACTTTATTCCAGCTACTGATGAGAGCAGCTGCACAAGACAGGAGCGGGCGGAATTCGCTCAGCAGGAGGAGAAAGTCTTCCAGAAGAAATTCTTGCAGGGGGGTTTATCCCGAGGCGGGGCTTGGTTGGAGAGAGCCCTCCCGTCTCGCTTGGAGAACTCCATCTCCTCGCCCCCGACCACAGGCATCTCACCGCCGCGGGAGGTCCAGTCGTACAAGGAGAAAAGGAAAGTCAGGAGGTCACTCGTCTTTCCTTCTGCCACTTCCTGCAGGGGCTTTTGAAAAGAAGCGAGCGGCGATTACGGGGTGTCAGAAGAAAGAAAATCAGTCATCTAACTCAATGAGGGACAACCCACAGTAGCGGATGGGAAGGAGGCCAGCCATGAAGTCGGGGACTGGAGTCCAGTCCTGCCTTTGACAAATATTGGCTGTGTGACCTCTCACGGCCCCCAAGCAACTTTCTGAGACTCTGAGTTGTTAGCCGCTGGTCTCCATCGGTGGAGGGAGTTTCCATACTGGAAGGTCCCGACCCTGTGGATATCTCAGTTCTAGTCTAAAATAAAAGAACCCTAACTCAGCCTGAGAAAACCACAACTCCCCACTTAGGGAAACATGCTCTGGAACAGAAAGGCTGGGGGGGGGGGCTTAGTTTACCAGACACTGAAAATAGGAGAAATGGTTACCCTTTTAAATTGCTCCTTTCATGATGAAATCAACAAAAGAAACTGCTTTGTTTAAACCTGCAGGGATTCTTAACCTGAGGTCTGTGAACTTGTTTTTAAAAGATTTTGATAACTGTAGTTCAACAGAATTCATTTCCTTTTTTTAGGAATTAGGCATTAAGCATTATTCTGAGGAGGGGTCCATATGTTTCACTGGACTAGCCAAAGGGGTCCAGGACACACACACACAAAAAGGTTAAGAACATCTGAGAAGTTCTAGAGGGAAGGAAAGGCATTTCTTCTGCCCCCTTACTTTTCGAGGTCCCTAATCAGAATATATATTGGGGGTAAGGAAAAAGGAGGGAAAATTGAATACTTAAGGGACACCCACAATTGTTCTCTGATTCAGTGAACATGAAAACTTGCTCTGAATGGAAGCGTTAATAAACACATTGTAATAAATGCTATGTCCTGTGCATATCATGAATGGTGGGGACCTTAATAGACATGAGAACATTCATACAAGAGAAAAAATACATTTAAGGAATGAATGTGGGAGAATCTTCAGCTGGAGAAGATGGATTACTGAATATAATGTAAGGAAAAGCTTCCTAAAAATTAGAAATATCTCAAAGTGGGATGAGCCAGCTGGGAAGGTACCCTGGAAATCTGCAAGTAGAGGCTGTATGACCCCTTATAGGGATACTGCAGTTGGAATTCTTGGTCAGGTCTGGGCTGGATTACATGTTCTCTGAGGACACTTCCTATTCAGAGATTCCAATTTTTAAAAAAATATTAACCTTCTATGGCCCTTACTGATTATGATGGTTTCAGTTCCCAACATTCTATTCTAGCTTTTTTCCAGGTTCCCTAGGAAAGTCTATTCGCTGCCAGGCAGCAAAGGACACTGGAATGATAAATGGGCAGCCTGAACACTGCCTGTGATTTTAGAGAAAAATCCATTTTTAATGGTCGAGTTTATGTACTCTCTCTTGGAACTTTTTCAAAAAGGAAAAATAGGGGGAAAAATGAAAAATAAATCACCTTGTAAATTTTAAGATTCTCAATGGGGAATTTAATGATGTCAGTTTCCACCAGAGGGAACATTTACTCTATAAATTAACATTTCCAAAGCATGTGTGCGATTCATCCACACAGTGGCAGCTAAGAATAGACTGGGCTACTCTCACTGACCATTCTGGAGCCCCACATAGAGGTTTCAGCAGTTGGCTGCTCCTGAGTTTTTCAAAGGGGGAGATTAAACCTAATGTCTTGTCCTGTTTAAGGTTGGTTAGCTAGGAAGAGAGGGGGGTGTCTCACATGATTAATGAATCCCAGGAGCCCAGAACTGCAAGATCCCTCAGCCGCCATCTAGTTCAGCCTGTATCTGACCAAAAATCACACCTCTAACAAGTTATCCACCTTTTGCTTGAAGACCTCCACTGGACGGGGAGCTTACTTAAGGCAGCCCACTTCTCCTTTGGCTAATTCCCATCAGGAAGATTTTCCTCTGTAACAAGGAGTTGTCACAATTGTTCAGAGGAAGAAGCTGCCCTCAGGACCTTCTGCAGGCCCCCCCCCCCCAACTGTGATGTGTAACTCAAGCAGAGGTCTTTGCCTAGGCTTCTGTCACAGGGGTCACACAGGGTATTCCAGTACACTGCCCCCCTCTGGGTGTTGAGGACTAGGCAGACTGGACACTGGAGTCTTGACAGGAAGCTGGCAGAAGGGGAAGTGGAGGAATGACCAGTTTCTTCAACCCTCCAAGGGAAGAACAGGATTCTCATAGTGAAAAAAAAACACAGAATCAGCCGTCCAGATGGGGAATTGTAGAGGGTCCTAGCTATCCGGACAGGATCTCAGAAGTCATTTAGAATCTAGATTCGGGGCCAACCCCCTTACTTTACTGATGAGGAAACTGAGGCCCAGAGACATGCGGGGAGGTGCACAAGGTGAAAGTCGGAAAGTTAGGGATGGGGATGCTGGTGAAACCAGAGTGATGGCCAAATCAATCCAAGAGAATTAAAAGCAAAAAAAAAGGGGGGGGGCTTTACAAAGTTCCCAAAGCCACAGGGAGGAGCAGCTTCCTGTTCGCCTTTACTTACCTTACTGCCTTTCAAGGCGAGGCCATCTTCCAGGGGAAGGGCTGCTGTGGCCATAGCCCAGGAGACCAGGAGTAGAAAGCAAAGAGACCCTGGAAGCTGCCAGCTGCCCAGAGACTGATGCATCTTTGCAAGTTCTTGCTGCTGCTGCTGCTGCTGCTGCTGCCGCCGCTGCTAATGACTTCACTCAGCCACTCCAGAAGGAATGGCTCTGCTTTTGAGGGAGGGGTGGGCTGTTTTTTAACTGGAAGCTCAACCTCCAGCTGGTTTGTTTTATTGTCGTTTTTTTTTTCTCCCAAATACTCCCCCCCACTTTTTCTTTCTCAAAGAGTGACGCAGAAAGAGAGGGAGCAATTAGAGGCCCCCAAATGCTTGCCTGGTTAGGTTGAATCTTGAATTTAAGTCCCCAGGACTTTAATCACTTGCCCTGGGTTTTCTGATGGGGTGGGAGTGTGTGTGTGTGGGGGGGTATCCCTTTGGTGAATTTTCATAGTTGCTTATATGTGGTCACTCCTGTGAGAATAGAAGCTTCTTGAGGGCAGGGACTATTAGTTTTTTTTTGTCTTTCCATTCCCCTCTCCCATCACTGCCCAAACGTACACCTAGCACCTAGCTTAATAAATGCTTGTGGATTGATTTTAAAAAAAAAAAACACAAAACAACTCTTTCCTCACCTGTCTATTCTAGTCATTGGAGGAGGAAAGCTTGAGTACAAAATAAAGTCGCTTAACATAAACTTAGCCTTGAAATAGAGACCCACATCTGAATTCTTCAAGGAAAAGTTAAATGAGTTGCAGGAGGAAATAGCCAGTAAAACTATACTAGTGGGGAACCTCAACCTCCCCCTCTCAGAACTAAATAAATCTAACGGTAAAATAAATAAGAAAGAAGTCAAGGAGAGGAACAGAATCTTAGAAAAGGAAACAGGGAATCAAATCAGAACTTTGGGTGGGGGGGATACCCATGTTTTGGGTGCAGCAGATATAGGTAGGATGGGGATAGAAGACTGAACTTGGAGGCAGCAAGACCTGTGTAGTTCTTATCTTCCTCCCCCCATACTGGTTGTGTGACCATGGATGAAAAGTCATTTCATCTCTCATCGTGAGCCTTGGTTTACTCATCTGTAAAATGGGGACAATACCTCTAGGGTAACCATCTGACAGGGTTGTTGTGAAGGTCCAATAAGGTACTGCATGTAAATAATTTAAATAATTCATATATCATACATTATACATTTGTAATTTATATTGTAAAGGGCTGCACGTAAAGGGCTTTGCCACCTTGAAAGATGAATGTCAATCGTTTTGTTACTATTATTAACAGAAGGAAGGAAAGCTGGTGAAGGGTATAGAGAATGAGCAAACAGGGAGTTTGCATATAGTGTCACCTGTGAGACCTTGAGCAAGTCACAACATCTCTGGGCCTCAGTTTCCTCATCTGTAAAATAAGTGCTTCCAACTAGCTGATCACTTCCAGCTCTAGTTCCGTGATCATTTGGGGTGGGGGTGGGGGGAGAAGGGGGAAGAAGGTGTCAAGTGTCAAACACTGATCAGTTCAAGGAGGACTGAGCCATTGGGTTGAGCCGTTAAGAAGTCATTAGTGACCTTGATGAGAGGAGCTTCAGTAGAGGAGTGAGGAAAGACCGGCCCCATCAGGGAAGTCAGACCAGGGTCTCTCCAGCAGGAAGAAGGCTGAAAAAAAGCTTTGCTAGATGACATACAAGGACCCTTCTAACCGTGAGATTTTATGGTTCTGCAAAGTGAATAATCTTCCCCCAATTAACCTTTTTAGCAAATCTGGATTTTAATAGATCAGGTTTGTTCCGTCCCACCAGCTCCCCTTCTGTCTATAGAATAAAAGCCTCATTGCCACAGCTCCACTTAATGTGGGTAATTAGAGACGAGCATGGCTGATTTATGGAAAGCCTCTTCAGCCATTGCCATAATTAGGAAAACTATAGATTATGTGTTATTTTAAGCACATTTTATTGAAGCCTTTTGTCTTTATAGCACAGCTTATTTCCATCCCCTTCTGAGGCTGAACTATTCTTTAAGACAAAGATAAATAATAAGCAAAGACATCTAATTCACTGAATGTGTTTGAAAATGTATATAATGTTCTCTCCTAGGAGTCCCCCACCCCTCTGTCATGAAAGAGGAGGTTTGTTTCATAAGATACCTATATGTTCAATGCTCACTATATTGGACAAGCTGTGTGAAACGGGGCCATGGTTATTCAAAGATATCTTTTAAGTTTTTAAGCTGGGCATAGTGGCACATCTGTAACCCCTGAGACTGGGGAGGCTGAGACTAGTAGATTCAGTCTGAGCTTCAGTGGGCTAGGCCAACGGGGTGTCCACACTAAGTCTGGCACCAATGTGGGGAGCCTAAGGGGTTAACTGACCCAGGTCAGAAATGGAGCAGGTCAAAGCTCCCATGCTGATCAGTATTGGGATCTGGACTATGAATGACCAATGCGCCTGCAGCCTGGATGAGATAGAGAGACTCAGTCTTAGAAAAAAAAGGCATTTTAGTACAGTTGGTATTTGGAATAGGAGCTTATGGGGTGTTCAGGAGGACTAGCCCCTCTGGTGTGAGGACTGCCGAGTCCTTTTGGGGCTGCTCATCCACCTTTGGTGTCCACCTGATTCACCTAACTCTTACCTGTGGCTCCATGCTCAGCAGCCACACCCCAATAAGGCATCTGGGCAGACAGGCTAAACCAGGTTGACGGCAATGAATGGGCCATCACCAACCTCAGACCTGTTGGCGAGTTAGGGGGATGTCTACCCCATGCATGGAGAATAGTCAGATGAGAACAATTTGTTCCAACAGTCATGAAGGCGGCTGAAACAGTTGCTGTGGAGGGCTTAGAGCTTGGGCAAACATTGAAGACACCAAGGTCATCCACTGAATCCCAGGCTGTAGACAGTTGTCCTGTCTTTTTTCTTGCCACTGGACTTTGATGACTCAAGAAGAGAGAGTGAGGTTCATGACTGCTGTGTAACTCAGCCTCGCCTAAATCCAGTTGACATATGAGGCATCACCTTGTGATGTCATTGGCTCTCTTTGAAAATGAAGGACAAATAACTTTGGAAGAAATTGTCCTTGTCCTTTGACCCAGGCTACCCCTAAGCAGGTTCAAGGCAGGCAATATATCCCTAGCAACCCTTCACACGGTAGCAAAGAACTGGAAACAAAATGGGAGCCAATTGATTAGAGAAAAGCTGAAGAAAGTGGGACATGTGAAATGCAATGTGATTCTAGGGAACTCAGAGCTATGTGGGAAGGTTTGCATAAACTGATGCAGAGCCAAAAGAAGGATATTCACAATGATTTTGGGAGGAGAGGCTGCCATGATGTCCTGACTCGTGACTTCACTGGAATAGGGAGCCCCAGGTCAAGAAACTCCACGCAGACGAGGAACTGTTCTGCTCCTTATAGTCACAGAGGGTCGGCATTGACAGGTGAAGTGACTTGCTGTGGGTCAGCCAGCCAGCATGTGTCACAGGTAGGGAGAGCAAGCTTGAACCTAGGTCTTTCTAGCTCTGAGGCTAGGGCTCTCTCTCTCTCTCTCTCTCTCTCTCTCTCTCTCTCTCTCCCTCCTCTCTTTAAAAAATATGTTTCCAGTTCCAAATTCTCTCCCTTCCTCCAGCCCCTCCCCCATCCATTGAGAAAGCAAGAAATAAGATGCGGGGCTCTACATCATGGTGCTCTCTTACGCAGTGACTCCAACAATATAAATGAAAGAATCACAAACAGGAAGCTGAAATATCAACAACAGTTCCAGGAGAACAGGTTAATGAAACATACCTCCCTCATTTTGACAGCAAGGTGGGGGACCACCATGGCTGAATGCTGTATACATTGTCAGATGCAGTCATAATATTGGATTTATTTTGCCAAACCATGTTTCTTTATTACAAAGTAGGGCTCAATTTGGAGATGTCAGGGAAGGGTTTTTTTCCCTAGAAATGGCGGTGAGAGGAAAGCAAAGGGAATCCATAAAACTTACTTTATTGCTTGTTTTTGCTTTTTGGTGAGGCAATCAGGGTTAAGTGACTTGCCCAGGGTCACAAAGCTAGTAAACATCAAGTGTCTGAGGTTGGATTTGAACTCAGGTCCTCCTGACTCCAAGGCTGGAGCTCCATCCACTGCGCCACCTAGCTGCCCTCATAAAACTTAACTTAAAAAAAAATTAAATGGAAAAAAAACCAGCCCTTGGAAGAAGACCCAGATCTAGCCCTAGGATGCTAAAAATCAGAGGATTGCAAGAGTCATGTCACTCTGGCCGGAGCTGGTTTCTGACCACATATCAAGGAGGGATAGTAAGCTTTAACTCTGCTCTGAATATTTTGAAGAATGTGGCAGAACCACTCAACTGCAGCGGAAATCAGAGGAATTCAAAAAGGCCCAAGAAGGAAATTCAGCTAGTGGAGTAACTTGGGCTGGGCAGGGGGGCCCAAACCCCAGGCAAATGGGGAGTTTGGGAATTTGCGAAAGCACTGACGGCATCTTCCCAGGAGTGCTTCCTCATCGCAGTGGGCTAGGCATTTCCCTCTTCACCCAGTGAGCTGGCCTTCCTGCCCCACCCCCACTTGCCTCAGGTGAAAATTTTTCTAATTACGGTTCTTCTCCGTAATGAGGCTGTCTCTTGCTTGGCATACTGGAAACCGTCTGGGTGTAAGAGGCAGGCCTGGGACCTCACTGCATATCTGCTGCTGACGACTTGTGCAACCTTGGACAAGTCACTTAAACTCTATGTGCCTCAGTTTCTCCATCTATCAATCAATCAACATTCACTAAGCATCTACTATGTGCCGGGCACTGTGCTAAGTACTGAAGATACAAAAAGAAGCAAAAGAGCTCCCTGCCTGTCAATCGGGGAAGTCGCTCCAGACGGTGCTTAGACATCATTAAATGCCTTCCACCTCTAAAATTCAGTGATTGAAATCTCTGAGAAATCAGTTTTAAGAGGACTCTTCCAAAACGGAAACACGAGACGGAATAAAGAAACAAGAAGTCAGGGTTCCAGAAAAGTCATGAAGATCGACTGTGAAGGATCATTGAGTTATTCCTCAACCATAAGATCCCAGCATCGTGGATGGAGCTGGAAGGGACCTCAGAAGCCATTTTTCCAGTATCAACCACCTCATTCTGCAGAGGAGGAAACGAGGCTCAGAAAGGAGGGACAGAGCCAGAGTGGAACTCGGGGCCCCTGATGAGATCCAACCTTCCTTCCTTTGCATCTCACTGCAGATATCAAGGGAAATGCCCATTCAAGATTGGTGGAATCAGGAGACAAGACTGACCCCT